CGCTCAGAGCTAGATGGACCCAGGAGTCCAGTACTAGGATAGGGCATGGGTGCCCTCCTGCCTCGCCCAGCCCCCTGCTGACCTAAAACAACAGTCCCAGGAGGTCTGAAGACTTTGAGAAGTCCCTGAGGTTCCTTGCAAAGACCCTTTCCCCAAACAGGCCCCCCAGTGGCTCCGAGCAAAGCCCTGTTGTGCACCTCTGTCCCTGACTCGGCCCCAGGTTCTGGGCATGCTGTGTCCAAACTTCAGCCACAGCTAAGCCCAAAGTGGACATGGGACATTCCTAGACAGACTCTGGAGTGGCACGGCTCAGCCAGGAATTCACAGGCTCACACTGAGTTTCCCTCCACCCCAGGCCATTTTTGGCTCCACAGGGAAGACAGATCTTACACTGGGTTTGGTCTGACCTGCTTGTCTCTCACTTGGGGATGAGAACGTGGCTCCAGGGCACCTGGGTGGCTCAGTTGGTTAGGCAACTGCCTTTGGCTCAGGTCATGATCCTGGAGTCCCGCCAGGATGAGTCCGACATCGGGCTCCCTGCTCAGCAGGGAGTCTGCTTTTCCCTCTGGCCCTCCCCCTTCTCATGCTCTCTCTCTCTCTCAAATAAATGTAATCTTAAAAAAAACAAAAACAAAAACAGAGAACGTGGCTCCACACTCAGGATCTGGGGCCTGGGGAAGGGGGCAAGGGGCTCACCTTGCTTCCTGTGCCTTCCTGTGTGTCGAGCAGGGTCTTGGAGAGCGAGGAAGGCCGCAGGGAGTACCTGGCCTTCCCCACCAGCAAGAGCCCCGGGGTGGGCCAGAAGGGACGCAAGGACCTGCTCAAGGGCAACGGCAGGCGCATCGACTACATGCTGTATGCGGAGGAGGGGCTGTGCCCGGACTGGAAGGCCGTGAGTCTGGGGTGGACCGGGCAGTCAGGCTACGCCTGTAGATAGGGGACCCTTGCCCTGCACCCCTCAACAGCACGGAGCTCGCCTCTGAAAACGAGATCGGTCAGTGCCAGAGACCCTGGGGCCCATGTGATGCTCCCACCCCTCTGTCTCCAGGAAGCTGCTGCCCAGCTCCAGCCGCACCCCCTCCCCCCATCCCACGGCCCCACCCCTGCTCTCCAGGCCCTTCCTTTGCAGGATATCCTCTGGATCTAATAGGGATGCTTCTCCCCAACAGGAGGTGGAAGAATTCAGTTTTATCACCCAGTTGTCTGGCCTGACTGACCACCTTCCAGTGGCCATGCGGCTGATGGTGTCTGCAGGAGAGGAGGAGGCATAGACCAGCCACGTCATTCCGAGCAGTGGGGCCTCTGCCAGCCCTTTGAGCCGCAGCACCTCTCTGGCCATGTCCCCTCCAGCGAGTGCCCCTGGTGCTGGGGGAGGAGGGCAGGGACCCGGGGGGAGCCTCGGTCAGTCCCGGGTGAGCTGGAGCCAGCGCTGTCCTGCACCTCTGGGCACTCACCGTGGACGGAGGAGCCTTGGGAGCCGCAGCTGCCCGACAGTGCCATTCTTTCGAAACGTGATTTTCTACAAATCTACAGCACAACCTAGTTTGTAACCCGGGGGTTAGTATGAGAACCGGGTTTCTGTACTCTTTATATCTCTTCTCAAGCTTCGTCCAGGGTTCATTATTTTTGTCTGCTGCCACGTTGTCTCGCATGCCTGCACCCTCGCATGCACGCTGCCCGCATGTCACGTGCCATGCCGTAGCCACACAGACCCCTCGCTCAGGCCTCACCCAAGGCCAAACTCCAAACACGATCAGAACCAGCCAAAGAAGCATTCCTGGGCACAGGGCCGCCAGTTCCCGCCTCCAGCCCAGACGGCTAGCAAGCAGGGACCTTGAGGGCTGTGTCCAGTTACCAGCAAGGCCGGGCTCTTCCCAGGGTCTTGCATTCAAGGGCGATTACATTTTAAAAAGAAAAACAAAAAAAGTTAAGAAAACTACCCTTCACTTTAGAGGGTCTGCAAACCATGAGGGAGAGCGCTGCTCGGGCTCCCCTCTCCCAGCCAAACAGGGCCCCAGAGGCTCCCCCAAGAGACTTCAAAGTGGGCAGAGGGAATCTGAGGAGAGAGCATCACCTTTTCACAGGAAGAAGGGGAGCTCATGGTATAAATGGGCCAGGGGGACTTCAGGTTTTCCAAATGATAGATTTATAGCTTCTCTTCTGTCAACACCAACACATCCTCTTCTTTCTGCCTGATCCCATTTCCCTTCTGGACACCTCTCTGGTTTGGGACCAAGCTTTCCCTGGCTGAGCTCAGGAACTGCCTGCCTGCCTCTGGGTGAGGCTGCAGCTCTGTCATCCCAGGCCCAACCTGAAAGGCGACCCAGGGGCCCTGGATGAAGAGGCAGGAAGCCAAGGTGCAGACCGGCCTGTCCCCTCACCCTCACCAGTGTGGAGGCTGGGGGTGAAGGCCGGGGGCCACCGCTTGCCTGGGGCAGCGAGTGGTACTGGTTGGCATCCAGGCCCGTAGATACCCACTCTGCCACCATGTGACCAGGGCCAGCCCTGGGTACTGGGCAGGACATGGCAGAGCCCAGGTGAGGTCTGCAGCTCCCCTCTCCATGGCAGCACTGCCCCTCTGCCTACCTGCCTTTTTAAACACACCCGGGGATGCTCCCCATAGTCACACGAGGGAGGCTGGTGTCTGTTTCCCAGTACAAGGACCCGCCAACTCGGAGGACTGTTCTTGACAACCCCCACTGGTCTCCCCTCCTCGAAGCACCCTGACCTTGTGCCCACCTGGCTCAGAGCCAGCTCTGCCCAGCGAGGCTGGGGAGTGCACCAGGACCCTTCAAATACTAGAAGCCTCCTGGTGCCGGCTCGCTGACGCTGTGCCTTGTCACCCACCTGAGCTGCAAGAAGGACCAAGACGGGGGCCAAGCAGCCAGCCAGAGGTGGGCCCTGTGCTGGAGGAGGACACTCTTGAGAACCATACACACGGGGGCACTGGTTTGTTCAGGGCAGTGTCTGGGCTGACGGCTTCACTGCCAGGAGCATTCCCTGACCAAGCCCCCAGCCCCACCCTGAGTCCGGAGCCAGGAGGGGCTGCTCAACCCCGAGTGCACAGTCCCACCTGGGCTCTCTGCTATGCCTCTCCTCCGAGGGCCTGGCCTCCAGGGCCCTGGCTAGGCTCCGTGGGGTCAGAGGGCCCCCCACTCCCAGGAGCAGCCAGGAATCTCTGCTCACATAGGCAGGGCCCAACTGAACACACTCGATGCCTGGATGGTGGGACTGAGCCAAGGCCTCCAGGCTTCGAGTCAGCCGTGTCCAGGAGAACAGGAGAGACAAAGGCCAGGGTTCCTGAAGCAGAGAAACGCCAGTCCAGCCTCCATCCCTCCGAGGAGCCACCTCCCTCCCAGGGCAGCTCTCCGGGAGCTGCGGCACAGGGGGCACATGCTTCTCTCCCTACTCACAGGGCGGCCTTAGGCAAGTCATACCTCCCTGTGCCTCGGTCATTTCCTGTCCTAACAAGGTCGCCTCTGCCCAGCCTGGCCCTGGCATCTGGAGCCGGGCCAGCCTGCATCCCATCTCCCCTCACCCTATCCTCTGGCGCAGCCTGAGCACTGAGGCCACCACTGCCCAACCACACGTTTCATCAAGGCTGTGGACTCCTAGGACCATGCACAAGCCAGACTTTTCCATTTTGATTTTTTAAAAAAAGAAAACACTATCAGGATCTCAGATTCTGTGGCATCTAGGCCTAGGAGGGGTGGACACAGGGGTCATCCAAATCCCCACCCAAGGCCCCATGCCTGCCCCAGGCCCAGCCTCCTCCACAGAAGCCAGGAGGCAGGGGTCAGCTTCGGAAGGAAACGGTCATTTCCATTTGTCCAAACCACCTTGAGTTTTAAGTATGAATATTAACCTTGATGCTTTTTAACTATTGTATTAACTTGCTGAGATTTAGAAATACTGTTTTAAAAAAGAAAAAAAAAAACAATTTTTTAATTTCTGTATTTTTTTCTGTATTGTATCCTCATGGGACATTAGGGGTTTTATATGGTAAGCACACCTAAGGTTTTGGTAAAAATATTATCAAATATATATCCAGACGATTCTTCCCTAGAAGAAAAACAATCTTTACACCTGATAAAATATTTTGAAAAGAGAGGTGTTTTTTCCCTTTATTGGTGCTGAACGGAAGGATGGATAATAAGAAAATAAAACTGTGAGGCTCAAGGCTGGTGTTCTCTTATTTGAGCGACAAGCTGGGGCCAGGCTGTGGGGGGCCGGCCTTTCCTGCCCTCCCCCCAGCAGCACGGGAACAGGATAAATCTGCCCTGAACCGCCAGAAAACCAGGCCACCTGGGTTCCTACTATCTCCTTGTTCCCTCTGCAAGTGGGAATAAAGAACGAAGGGCACCTTGAGTGAGGAGAAGCCAGGCTGGGACCACTTCAGGACTCCCTGGCCTTCCCCAGCAGAGCAAGTGCCAGGCTGGAGTGGCTACACTGTATCCATCTGCCCCAGGCCTCGGAGGTGGCGGGAGGTCCTTCTGCTAGAATGGGGGCACACAGGAAAAGGCTTTACCTCCTGGCTCCTCCTCCTGATGGCTGGTTTCCAGGTCTGCATCTCAGGAAATGCTTCGAGACCACCTCTTCCCTATCCTCTGAGGAGCAGCCTGATGTCCAGGTGTCAAGTCTCAGTCACCTGCTGATGCTGCATACAGAGGCCAGACGCTTATGGATATGCCTGGATAATGTCACCCAACACATGAGAAGGACGGCCCTGCCAGGGTCTTTCAGGCCCATGGCCTAGCCACAAGTCAGCATCCCAGCCTAGATCTAGAAACCCCTCCCAGCTGAGAGCACACAACCTGCCCGGCCCAGCCCGCTCCCAGCACAGCACAGGGACACTGCCACGTGAGAGCTTTCTGAGCACTTTGGAACCACGGCAGGGGCGGTGGGGGGGGGCTTCCCTGGCCCCTCCTCGGCTTCAAATTCAGTCAGCAGCTCAGGCTGCCCATCACACCCAAATCAAGGAACTGGCGGGCGCAAAAATGTGAAAAGGGAAGAGGGCTCCTCCGAACCCAGAGGTCTAACTGGGCCCTGAAAAGAGAGGGAGCTTCACGCCATTCAGAGCCCAGAGCCCTCGGGCCACTTTATTTCGCAACAAGTGAGGGTCAGCACCCGTCCTCCGGGGTGTCTGACAGCGTGAAATCCATGGTGACGTCCCCAGTGCGGGGGTGGAACTCCACTGTGTAGCTGACGGTCCGAGGGCCGCCCTGCGGGGCTCTGCAGTCCGGGCTGGTGAAGAAGTACACAGCCTGCTTGCAGTGCGGGTTCCAGCAACAGTCCTCCTGTAGAAGCAACAAGAAGGCAGTGAGGGCACCAGAGCCCCCTCCTGGTCAGCCTCCAGCCCGGGCAACTCGCAACGAGAAGCTGCTGCTCAGGGCCAGGTGACCCGGGGCCACAGAGGAGTTAGGACCTGGCTGCCTACGCCAGGGATACCCAGAGCAGCGCCAGCTCTCGGGGTAGGCCTGCTCTGGGACTCACGTGCACAGCACTACCTTGTCCTCTGCAGACTCCAGGAGGCCGGTGCTGACCGTGCTGTCCGGCGTCAGGTGGTATTCCATCCACAGGACGGCCCCATGGCTCCTCCCAGGCCTGGGGGTGGGGGGATGTTGGGCCAAATAGAAACAGCCATCCAAGAGACGGGCAGGCACAGCCACAGCTTCCCTCTGCCTTCCAGAAACCTCTGATCTTTCCTTCCTACCCAATCAGGAGGCTGCTAATACCACCTGGCTAAAGGCCACTTGGTAAAACGCTAAGCAAAAGAACCACAACCCAAAGCCCCACTTGCTCCCTGCAGCCTGGCCAAGCACTTAGAGGAACCACGGGGCCGGGGCGTTTCCTCAGGGAAGCAGCAGCTCCTCCCTGTGAAGGGAGCTGGAGCTGGACAGCCCCACTGTGCCTCACAATGAGCAGCCCTTACCAATTCCTAACCTGCTTTAATTCCCAGCAGAGTTCAGGAAAAATGGCCCAATGAGTAACCATAGCAACCAAAAATTACGTTTCTCTACAGCTCTGATTGTCATGATGCTGAGCTCAAGGGGAGCTACAGATGTGGGGGGATGTGCAAAGCCCACTCTGGATCTCCTTCTCCACCAGCACACACCCAGGGGCTATGGGGACCCGCTAGAGACTCAGGGCCACTTCGGACCAGGAAGGGCAAGGCCCAGACAAGGAGGCCATCCACCCCACGTGAGAGCAGCGAAGTAAGTGCTTAGCGACCTGCGCAGTAACTAGACAGAAAGCAGGCCCCACCCTCTCTTCCCCCACTTGCTGCACCCTGGAACCTGTTCTCACCTCCTCAGCTCGATGGAGCCCTCAGCACGGACTGGGTGCAGGGGGACCGGGTGCCGAAAATCAAAGGTCAGGATCTGCTGGGGCTCGGACAAGCGGCGACATGGGTACTCCCACAGCGGGTGGGGCTCGGCCTCCTTGCTCTCCCTGAAGTCCAGGGCACGCTGAGAAGGTGAAGGGGAGGTAGGGGTATACAAAAACAGAGACAGAGCCAACAGCCTAGAGATAAGGGACTCATGTCCAGTCTCCAAGGTCTAGGCCCGTGGTCCTTCACCTCCTTGGCCCAGGTCCCTGAGAGTAACTGCCGCCGTCACCTGGGGCAGTGGGTCCTCACAGAAAGACCACAGGCCCCTGGATCAGACCAGCTGCCTTCTCCATTCCCCGCTGCCATGCACAAGTGTCTCCTCAGCGAGTCACCTCACCTAAGCCTCATTATCTCCTTTTTAAGATGGGATGACACTCCTGGTCATGAGCTACTCTGAGGACCAAATGTCTGCAGTGGCAAAAAAAAAAAAAAAAAAAAATCTGGCACTCGGACACTCGCCCATTCAGTGACCCTTCCTGAGCACTACAGCTGCCAGGTCACAGCGACATGAGGCTCCCCGTCTAGAGGGAGACAGGAGTCACAGTGCCTGGGACACTAGCCTCCAGCTGAGAACGGGGCTGGGTAGGAAAGCTGCCCCACAGGTGATCTCTGGGCCGCTGCCTGAAGGTCACACATGAGTTGGTGGCAAGGAGAGCGTATAAAGCCAAGCAGTGAGGGGGTGCAGGGTGCGGCCCAAGGGGCAGGGGTCATGGGGTAAGAAATGGGGCCAGACTCAAGATCTCCATGTTCACTTGCACTGTGTAAAGGAAGGCCAAGTGGGAAGGGCAGGACGCTGTGGCCACACGGAGTGGGTGGGTGGGACCCTGCAGGGAGGAACTGTGGCCCCACCTACCTTAATCATGTCATCCATGATGTGCACATCAAAGCCTTCGCACTCACCACAGGGACTCCGGATCCGCCACAGGTCCTGTGAGGAAGGCACAGCCCTTGTCGACACCCAGCTGGGGATGGACATCACAGGTTCTGTAGGACAGCACGCCGGCATCCACACCCACCCACAGACACGGAAGCGTGGTTGCAAGAGCAAGAAGGGTCAGTGAAGTCGGGCTTGGGGTGCCCCGGCCCCAAACCTGAGACACACCTTGCTGTTCCCGCACACTTGGAAGAGACCCCAAGGTCAAAGGGGCTCAGAGATTTCAAGGATCCAGGATGGTCATTCAAATCTGCCAGGTCTCAAATGACCCCAAGTCCTCACCTACAGGGGACAATCTGCCAGAGCCACTGGGATGGGTTTTTTGGGGGAAGAAATGTGTAAACTAGCTCCTGAGGCTCTGCACCTATGAACACAGCACGAGGACAATGGGAGGGAGGGGACCAAAAGTGCACACAGGCCAACCAATTTTGTGTCCCATTTCCAGGATATATGCCTGGGAATGAGCGTCATTCCCACATTCCCTCCTGGGCCATGAAAGCCAGAACTCCCGTGGAAATCTCACGAGGTAAATAAACAACACAGAAAAAATGCCCAGAAAATAAGCGACAGAGCCACTGAGCTGCCAATGGATGAAACTGCTCTAATCAAAGAAATATCAAAGGAGGTTCACTCTACTTCTCAGGTTGAAAGCATTTCAAAATCCTTTTAAGAAGAAACACCTTTCCCAAAACGACTTTGTGACTGGTTCTGCTTTGATGAGAAAATTAAAATGAAGCTCTTCAATTTTTTCTTACATAAAGAAGCTGACTTTCCATCTCAAAATGCTTTTAACAACTGGAGCGTCAGCTCTAAGTAAGAGCAGAGCGAACCACGCAACATGTCTTCTGAAACTCTTCATTTATGTTTTTTAATTATTCTGATAAGGGATAACTAAAATGACAACACACAGCCACTTCCATTTCGTATGCCAAATTATTGCATTTGTACAAAGGCAAGCCTTTTCCATTCAACCCTGCAGTGTGCTGACACAGCAAAGGACAGACTCCTACCATGAGGACTCACACTGCTCCACCTGCACCCAAGGTCTCTGCAAGAAAACAAGGGCCCTCACCTCCCAGCCCTTCTGCAACAACTTGTGGGTGGCCTACCCTGAACTCCACGACCATAGCGTGCAGCGAGGCAGCCTGGGGCATCACCACAGCACCGGGCCCCAGCTGCTGGTCCACAGCGGTCCGCACATACCAGAAGTAGAGGTTGTGCCACGGCAGCAGGCTGGTGGTGAAGAACGGCTCCCCCAGCAGGAGAGAGACCTGGCAATCAGAGCAGGAAGCAGGACCAAGGCGTCAGAATGATCCAGCTAAAGAGTGAAGGCACATTACAAGTTTCATGGGAAACACGGAAATAAAAAGGCATTCGTTCACTCACTCAGGCAACCAACGAGCATGCCAGGTCTGCCCCTGCCCTGAAGGACACAAAGATGAGAAGCAGACAAGAGCCCCGCCCTCAGGAGCGCAGAGAGGTGAAGAGGGGATCCTTGTACAGCGCGGTAAGCTTTGCCAGTCAGAGGCGAGGAAGGGACATGTGGAGGGAGCCCAGACGGAATAGCAGCAGGAAGGCTTCCTGAATGGCATCCTGTAGGTAGATCCCCACTCGTAGCTTATCATGACAAACTGTTACCAGTGCTCCTCCAGCAGGCTGCCTCACTAGATCCTGAGCACCACAGAAGCGGGGACGTTGGCAGCACAGTATCCCCGGCACCCTGCAAAGTGCTGGCCCCGAGCAGATGGTCAGTAAATGTTTGCCAAGTAAATGAACAAACACATGAATAGGAGTCAGAAAAGCAAAGGACCGGGGATTCGAACAGAGGGATGCAGGGGCAAAAGCATGGGTATGAGAGCAAGGCCCTTCGGGAGCTTGTTACACAAGTAAACAGGGTAGAATTGGTAAAGGGTGAGGCCAGAGAAGTGAGGCCAGAGGAGCCAAGTAGCCCAAAGGCAGCTGATGGCAGGCCAAGGGGACTGGACCCTTTCCTGGAGGTAAGAGGGGATCTCTAAATGCTTTCATCAGGGGTTCAAATGGAACGGATGTGTGTTAGAAAGAGCCCTCTGAACAACCAAGAAGCATGTGGACACCCACCCGCAGGGAGCATGGGCACAGGAGAGGACTTGGCTGAGTACTGCAATGGACCAAGCAAGGAGCAGGGAGTATACAGAAGGAAGGACTGGGAGACGCGGTAGATGCTGAAGAGACAGGGTACCCAGGGCTGGGCCCAAGCAGAAGGGCAGCAAGGGAGGGGCCAATGTAAGATGACACCTGGTGTCCAGCTGAGGTAAGGAAGATGCAGAAGGAAACACTGAAGACAGAAAAGAGTTGGCCCTGCAACACTGGAACAAGGCAAGAAAGTCTGGTCTCACCCCTTCTAAGAAGTCACCACTCTAGTGACCTGGAGGCTAGCCAGTGCGCCATTAGCAGTGGCTTACAGAACCGGAGGATTTTTTTAATCCTCATCTATGAGAAGGACAAAAAAAAAGTGCAACTTGTACTGAGCGTTCAGACAGTGACATTCATAGCAGCCAAAAAGTAGAAACAACCCAAGTGTCCAGCAACTGCTGAACAGATAAAACAAAATGTGGTCTATCCACACAATGGAATATTCTTCAGCAATAAAAAGAAATGTAGTACTGATTTATGCTACAACATGGATGAACCTTGAAAAAAGTCAGTCACAAACAGACTACACATTTCATATGATTCCATTTATGTGACTGTCCAGAATCAACAAATCCCTGGACAAAAAGTAGATTGGAGGTTGCCTAGGGTTTGGGAGGATTGGGGGCTAATGGGCACAGGGTTTCTTTTTAGGTGATAAAAATGTTCTAAAACCGACTGTAGTGATGATTTTACAACCTTATGAATACACTAAATCACTGAATTCCACACTTTAAAGTGGGTAAATTGTATGGTATGTGAATTATATCTCAAAAACACTTTCTTAAAAAAAAAAAAAAAGGCATGGGGGGGAAAATCGGCAAAAGAAAAGCTATGTCACCAAACCAGACATGCAACAGCTACTGAGCACGTGGAAAGGTGTTCAACATCATTAGTCATTAGGCAAATACTAATCAAAATTATGAGACATTGCCCGCTAAAATGACCATAATAAAAATGACAGACAGTACCAACTGTTGATAAAGATACAGAAAAATTGGAACTTTCATACATGTTACTAGTGGGGGTGTAAAATGGTATAGCTGCTTTGGACAACAGTGTAGCAGTATCTTAAAAAGTTAAACAAAAATACCACACAACCCAGCAATTCCAAGCCTACACATCTAAGAGAATTAAAAACATAAATCTTCACAAAGAGCTATATATCAATGCTCACAGCAGCCATGGGAGCGCCTAGCTGGTTCAGTCAGAGGGCATGGGACTCTTGATCTCGGGGTCATGATTTTGAGCCCCACGTCGGGCACAGAGATTACTTGAATAAATAAAACTTTTAAACAAGTTTAAATTAAAAAAATCTAGCTGCATCAGTTCCCTCCTAAAACTAAAAAGAAAGAAAGAAAGGAAGAAAAAGAAATGTTCACAGCAGCATTATTTTAAAGGCCAAAAATAGTTTTTGAAACAACCCAAATATCCACCAACAGGTGAATGGAGAAACAAAATGCGGCATGGCATAATATTCAGCATTAAAAAGGAATAAAATACCGACACATTCTACAACATGGATGAACCTCAAAGGTGTGGCCAGTGAAAGAAGCCCAACACTAAAGACCACATACTGTTTTATTCCACTTATATGAAATGCCCAGAAAAAACAAATGTATAGACAGAAACCAGATCAGTGCTTGCCTGGGGTTAGGGGCTAGGTGATGGAAATGCTCTAAAACTAGAACGTGTGATAGCTGTACAACTCTACAATTTACTAAAAATCACTGAACTGCACACTTGAAATGGGTTAATTTTATGGTATGTCAACTCTCAGTAAAGCTGTTTAAAAACAAAAAAAGGTGGCAAAGAAAGATGATCGATTCCAGCTTGAAGGGCCTGTGGGATATGTAAGGAAAGCTATCCAGATGGCACTTGGACAGAACAGATTTGCAGACCCAGCTTTGGCGGCCAAAGATTCCCTTATGGGAAAGGACATGATCACCCAGAGAGAAGACAGAGAGGGAGAGGGCAGGGGGAGGGGCAGAGGCAGAGAGAGAAATTTAAGCGGACTCTCCATGAGGGCGGGACTCGACCCCATGACCCTGAGATCATGACGTGAGCCGAAACCAAGAGTCGGAAGCTCAACCGACTGAGCCACCCTTTTAGGCGCCCCTAAAAAAAGCAGTCTCTTAAGGACCTAAAAAGAAATGTGTTAAGAAGGCCTCTGGGTCATGAGGGTCCAGGAGCTGGTGACAGGAAATGTGCGGGAAGACTGTTTAGTGTCTCAGGTCACTAGGGGTGGGAGTAGTTTCAGAGGCACACAGGGCGGGGTGGGGGTGGTCAGAAGACCAACTGTGGGAGACAGACGATCAGAAGATCAACCACAGTGGTGGCAGGAAGCAGAAAGGCGAACCAAAATACAGGAGCAAAGGGAGCTGGAGCGCTGTAAAGGGATAAGGCAGAGAGGACACAACACGCTGCTATTCATCCCAACAGAGCCACCCTCCCTCGGACGCAGCAGAGACCAGTTAGAGTTGAGAGCAGCGCACAAATGTGCATGCCAGGCATCTCTGCCTCGCCTGGCCTTGTGGCTGAGACAGGTGTGGGAGCCAGCATGCAGCCGAGAGAAGAGAAGGGGGCACTCAGGCCAGCACAGTGCTGTGCTGTCCCTGCAGGGACACAGCCCTCGCCACTCACCTTTTTACCCTTCAAGTCTGCAGACGTTACCAATTCAGGCCGTTTCTCTATTATGTTAATTTTATCTTCCAAGTGGTTAGCCTTGAAAATCTTAACAAGAAAAAAAAATGAAAGTATTGTTTTTGTCCAGGAAAAAAAACACCTCAAAGTTGCCTTGTCTGTTTGCAGTTTTCTGGCCAAATAGTTCTGGAGGACCACTTTTTTTTTTTTTTTAAGATTTTATTTATTTATTCATTAGAGACAGAGAGAGAGAGGCAGAGGGAGAAGCAGGCTCCCAAGGAGCAGGGAGCCCGATGCGGGACTCGATCCCAGGACCCTGAGATCATGACCTGAGCC